TAGAGTTAATGGTATTTCATAACTAATTGATTGAGCAGCAGCTTGTAGACCACCTAAAAAGGAATATTTCTTATTGGATCCATATCCTGACATAAGAAGTCCGATGGGAGCAAGACTTGAAATGGCAATCCATAAAAAAACACCTATATGCAGATCTGCTAAAACAAGGCGATAACCAAAAGGAATTACGAAATAGCTTAGTCAAATGGATATGACTGCTATGGATGGATGGTCCGATACTACTGAATAAAGGTGTATCACCTCTAGATGGAAGCTGATTTTCTTTAAAAAGTTGTTTTGTACCATCTGCTAAAGCTTGAAGAACTCGCAAAGGACTTGCATATTCAGGTCCAATCCGTTGTTGTATGCATATATTTCTCTTTCTAACCATACAATTACTAGTACACCGATTGTGATTCCCAATACAGTAGTCAAAATAGGGACAAGCACCCATAGAATTCCATAGACTGATTTGAAGAATTCCAATCTCGATGTCCTTCTCCCCAGTCAGACTCAGTATCCTTGGTTTCAAAAGGGATTGGATAAGGCTCACATTACTGCCACTTCACTAGAAGATCAAGGCCATGTCGAAAAATACCAAAGGCACTTCCTCTTAGCCATTCATTAGAGTTCTTTCTTTAAAAAGAAAGGGAGGGGGGGTAGAGCAAGATTCGCGCATCCAGTTGTCCGGTCAAAAAGAAGAAGGGTCGTGCCCAGCCCCAAACTGTTCTTACGTTCTGCCTTTCGAGAATCAGATGATGAGAGGACTAAGGCTAGATGATCGTGTCATTATCTATACACCTGAAAAACCGTCGTATTCGAGATCTTTCTTTTTGCCTTCGTCCAGTGGAAAGTAGAATGAACCCAGGTTTGAAAAACTGATGTTGCAGGACTTCAACAGGAGATCGAACAAGGTTGATTTCGGCAGCTGAGGATCGCTTTGTGCCTGACTCGACTCACTACCTTTTAGCGTGAATGGATAAAGAAAGGCCCTCAAGGAGCTCGGTACCAAACAGGCACAGCAAAGGATAATTGTGCACTCAAAGGAGCATGTCATCGAAGAGTTTACAACCAACATTCATTCTCGAGCGGGGAGCGAGTTCAAGACCAAAGAAAGCCAGAGCATCTCCTCCTTTTCGCCTTGCCTCGAGGGCTTACGGGTTCGTGGGCACAGTTGAACAAGGCTCGTATTCAGATACAAGTGGAGTATCAGAGGTTGAAAAAGGTCAGACCATAAATCAAAAAGTCAGAAAGAAGAAGAGAAAGAACCATAGCCAGAAGAACAAAGGAACTTTACATTCAGTGTTGTGTAACAAAGTAAAGAAAAGACAGAGATCTCGTTCGAGACAAGCTTGTCAGGATTAAAGACGTTGGGATTAGATTAGCAGACTATGGATGGGTCAAGACGTCGAGTAAAGTCTCCGTCATCTCCAAAAGAGCAGGGTGGTTAGGTTCGAGTCTGAATCGATCGGGTGGTCCAATCTAATAGTAGTATATATTTAGGGGTGAGAAAAGCGAAATATTTGGCATCTGGATCCTTCCACGCAAGACGACTAGGATCAAATGGTTTACAATAATGCTAAGAAGAAGATCGAGACCATTCTTTTTGAGACAAAGGGCTTGACTTCTATCGGATCAGCCTAGAGGAAGAGTAAGAGTACACCAACTAGCTATGTAAAAAGAGAGTGGGCTAAACTAAAGGGGCTCAGACCGAGAATCACGAAGATGTCAAGCGCTATGCCATACGATTTCAGGATTGCTTCGATTCCTTGACGCTATGTGGGAGAACTCAACCAAGCAATCGGCATCAGAGGATTGATTCCATTTTTGGATAGAAAGCAAGGAGAGTGGGAAAGCTAACCTACCCTTCTGTTTGCTGAATCTGACCTTCGTCCAAGAGTTTGGGCTTCTATGTGAAGAACGTGCTTTCTGACATCGAGTGCTATGCCAAGAGATCACTACTTTGTTTGATAGGGTCATCGGTCGGTTCCATTGGTCATTCTTCAGGAGAAGTCCTGAAACTGAACTAGTCAATTGAGAGGATCATTGCTAACCCATTGGGTTAATCGAGATCGTCTCGCGCATAAGAGGGCATTTCTTGAATGAGAAGATTCTCTTTCTACATTGACGCCATATCCCGCCTCTTCCTTGCCCGCTTCAGAATATTCCTTCCTGGTGGGACTCGCATTGATTTCAATTGATTGAATCGGTTCTGGTCTTCGCTGACTGAGGCTTTCCAAGACGAGTAGACCTTAGTTACCCGCTTATTGGGACCTGCAAGAAGCAGAGTTTCTTTGCTTTGTCACACACATTGGAAAAAGAAAAAGTCAAAGCAGCAGACCATCCCATTATACACCTTTATAGAGATTTTGGAAGAAGGTTCTGTTTCACACATCTTGGCCAAGTAGTGTAAAGGAAAGAAATGCTTTGTCTGTTGAAGGTGCTCTCTTCTCTACTCCGTCACATAATAGGAGAGAGGCTCACTCTTCATCCATAGTATCCTCTGCATCTTATGCATCTTCTGTCTCCTCTCTTGGTTTCAGGGAGCCTGTGAGAGTTCCGTTTCTTTGCCGGAGGGAAGTGGGCTTCATTCAATGTAATGCTTTGTTGGTTGGTTCAGGGGGTCCGGTTTTTCAGTTTAGTGTGTAGGGAGGCGTTGTTGCCCTTTCAGGAGACATGTTGTAATGTTCAGTGGCAAGATAATAGATATGGAATCGATGATCAATCCAATCCGACGTTCAATAATTCTAGAGATGGTGATCCACCTTGTTAAGATCTCTTCTATGCTGAGAACCATCTGTTTTTCCCAATTTTGATTGACCTTGACCAGTCATTGCTGGAAAATCTGGCCCCAGCCTCGTTGGCCCTCCAATTCTCAAGGCCGCCCTAGACAAGTGGTTTTAGAACCCACATTTGGAAAAGTTCTGTTAGGTTCTTAGTAGCAGTCGACGACTTTTTCTTCTTTCACTTCACATAGCTTTTCGTCTCCTTGATAGCTGGAAGTTCTCCAAAAGTATGAAAAGCTGGAGGACTTTGTACCATCCATTCCAGTGTGGTTGAATTATGTTATTTCCACTGCTTTTGTTATTTCCACTGCTTGAAGTGATTGTGACGACCACGAAGAAATGACGAATCCCAACTATGATTATATAAGAGCCAAAACTGCTAAGGGCATTCCATCCAGCGTAAGCATCTGGATAATCAGGAATGCGACGTGGCATACCCGAAAGCCCTAAGAAATGCATGGGAAAGAGGGTCGGATTAACCCCAAAAAAAGTGATCCAAAAATGGATTTGACCTAAAGTTTCAGGGTATGTCCGACCAAAGATTTTACCCACCCAATAGTGAAATCCTGCAAATAAAGCAAAAATGGCTCCTATAGAAAGTACATAATGGAAATGTGCAACCACATAATAAGTATCATGTAGAGCAATGTCTAGCCTTGAATTTGTCGGGACTATTCCAGTGAGTCCTCCTATGGTGAACAAAAAGATGAACCCTACAGCAAATAACATGGGGTTTTTGTATTGTATCGAACCCCCCCACATGGTAGCGATCCAACTAAAGATTTTGATTCCAGTGGGGACAGCTATGATCATGGTAGCAGTGGTGAAGTAGGCACGGGTATCAACGTCTAAGCCCACAGTAAACATATGATGAGCCCAAACAAGAAATCTAAGAACACCCATATTGATCATGGCATAAACCATGCCTAGATACCCGAAAATAGGTTTTCCCGAAAAAGTAGAAACGATATGACTGATGATACCGGATCCAGGCAGAATGGGAATATACACCTCTGGATGACCGAAGAACCGAAAGAGATGCTGGTATAATATGGGGTCTCTCCCTCCAGCGGGATCAGAAAATATTGTATTAAAGTTTCGATCGGTTAATAACATGGTAATAGCCCCTGCCAGTACCGGAAGTGATAATAAAAGTGGGAATACTGTCACTAGAATGGACCAGACAAAGAGGGGTGATCTATGCATAGTAATTCCAGGTCCACGCATGTTGCAAATAGTCGTTATAAAATTGATAGAACCTAAAATAGATGAAATACCAGAGAGATGAAGACTAGAAATTGCTGAATCAACTGCTCCTCTAGAATGGCTGGTAATACCACTTAAGGGCGGATAGACCGTCCACCCAGTGCTGCTACCCACTTCTACTAAGGTTGAGCTTAATAGGAGCAAGAGACTTGGTGGCAACAACCAGAATGAAATATTATTTAATCCGAGAAATGCTATGTCAGGTGCACCTATCAGAATAGGAACAGACCAATTACCAGATCCACCTATCATCGTCGGCATAACCATAAAAAAGATCATTAAAAAAGCATGAGCTGTTATTAAAACATTATAAAGTTGATGATTCCCACCAAGAATTTGATCGTCGGGTCGTGCTAATTCCATACGAATCAGTACTGAGAAGCATGTGCCCATCACTCCTGCAATGGCACCGAAGATGAAATATAGAGTCCCTATATCCTTGTGGTTAGTGGAGAACAGCCATCGGACCAGATTTCTCATCAAATTGAGATTCTTTCGTTTCCTTCCTTATTAGAGAGGGGCCCTTTCCTGACTTTAGAGAGCGGGGCTGATTTATTGAAAAAGTGGGAATGAGAGGGGAAGGAAGAATGGAAAGGGGGGTGGGTAAAGTGCGGAAAGCCCTCACTCAATTGATGGGACATTTTGATGT